CTTCTCCGCTTTCCTTCGGGCTAGCGACGGCTCCTTCTCCTTGCCCCTGAAACCAGTTATCTCCCAGCCCATCCATGACAGCAGTGAGTACGCCGCAGGGTGCCAGGCGCCAGCACCCAGACGAGTGTTTGGGATGCCTTCAGCCCACGGGGTTTGAACCCGGCCCTGCCCCGTGTGTGATGAAGAGTGGTCTTAAGCTAGTCTGAGCGTTGCGTCTGCCTTTTCCTGAAGTGTGAGATAATGACCCCAACGCCAGTGTGGCCCTCACCCATGCTGTCCCACCCTAGAGTCTCCAGGGGCCTCAAACCTGAAGATTTCCCGAATGGACAAAACAGCAGGATCTGTGCGCGGTGGAGACGAAGTTTATTTGCTTTGTGATAAAGTGCAGAAAGGTGAGGCGGCAGGCCTCCGTAGCAGCTAAAAACACCCGTGTGTGTGTGTGTGTGTGTGTGTGTGTGTGTCTGTGTGTCTGTGTCTGTGTGTGTCTGTGTATGTGTGGGTGGAGGGGGAACGGGCCAACTTCAGGGTGAATGCACTGGGCCTGCAGATTCTCCCTAGGGCTAAGCCTAACTTTCTCGGTAGATGACATTGAGGTCCGGTTCTACGAGGATGACGAGAACGGGTGGCAAGCCTTTGGGGACTTCTCTCCCACAGACGTTCATAAACAGGTACAGAGGGACTAGGGCTTGACCTGGAGGCAGAACTAGGCGAAGATCTCACAGACACCAAAGGTCTCTCTCCCACCTTCTGCCCCAGTATGCCATTGTGTTCCGGACACCGCCCTATCACAAGATGAAGATAGAGAGGCCTGTAACGGTGTTCCTGCAGCTGAAACGCAAGCGTGGGGGGGATGTCTCCGACTCCAAACAGTTCACCTATTACCCTCTGGTGGAAGGTGGGGCTGGGCTTCAGGCTTCCCAGGGGCTGGAGGGAGCAAGGTGGCCTGGAAGGGTGGCTGCTGGTTGCCGGGCCTGGAGACTACCCCAGTTTTAGATTTTAACACCCTGTTTCTTGTTCCCCCTAGACAAGGAGGAAGTGCAGCGGAAGCGGAGGAAGGCCTTGCCCACCTTCTCCCAGCCCTTCGGGGGCGGATCCCACATGGGCGGGGGTTCTGGGGGCTCTGCTGGGGGTTATGGAGGCACTGGAGGAGGTGAGCGGGCCCAGCGGCCGGGAGAAGGGTGGAGGCGATAAGGTCAAGTTAGAAGAGAAATCTGGGAGAGTCCCGGCTGACACCTCACAGCTTTGCCCATGCCCACAGGTGGCAGCCTCGGCTTTTTCCCCTCCTTGACCTACAGTCCCTACCAGTCCGGCGCAGCCCCAATGGGCTGCTACCAGGGTGGCGGGGGCGGAGCGCAGATGGCCGGCTCTGGGCGGGGCGTGGACGCTGGGGAGGCGGCGAAGGATCCGAGTGCGCTCCCCGAGGTCCCCCAGGGCGAACCGCCGGCCCTCGACGCGCTGCAGCGAGGTACGTCTCGGGAATGCTGGCAGGCGGGCGCGCGCCGGGCTGGGGACCTGGCCCGCACCCACGCGCCCTGTCGCCTCCAGCTCGCGAGTACAACGCGCGCCTGTTCGGTCTGGCGCAGCGCAGCGCCCGAGCGTTGCTGGACTACGGCGTCACCGCGGACGCGCGCGCTCTGCTGGCGGGACAGCGCCACCTGCTGACGGCCCAGGACGAGAACGGAGACACGTAAGCGGCCCGAGAGCCGATGGCCTAGGGACATCCAGGGGGTCTCCTGGTATCTTCCACCAGGTCGGGGCAGTAGAGGAAACTGCAAAGAGCCGAACCCTAGAGTCTGACAGATCTGAGCTCGAGTCCTTATTGTTTCCTAGCTGTGTTCAAGAAATTTAGTCTCCCCAACCTTCAATCTCGTTAACTGTGAAAGGAGCACAGTAGCAAGGTGTGACAAAGAGTAAAGATGGTGACGTTCAGGGTTCACCAGTGAAGGTGACCATGAAGGTGCAGAATTTTGAGGGCAGATGATGCTCTGGGTGGCTGGGTTTCCCAGACCAAAGTCTCACTCTCCAACCCCCCAGACCGCTGCACCTGGCCATTATCCATGAGCAGACTAGTGTCATTGAACAGATAGCCCTTGTCATCTACCATGCCCAGTACCTTGGGGTCATCAACATCACTAACCACCTGTACCAGGTAATGGGGGAGCCTCTGGTGAGGGGCAAGGGGTAGGGGAATGAAGGCAGGGAGTCCTAAGCTGCAGTGGGCTGGGCTTATTACTCTGCCTTCCTCCCCAGACACCTCTGCACCTAGCAGTAATCACTGGGCAGACGAGGGTGGTGAGCTTCCTGTTGCAGGTGGGTGCAGACCCCACACTGCTGGATCGGCATGGAGACTCAGCTGTGCACCTGGCTCTGCGGGCAGGTGCTAAAGCCCCAGACCTGTTGCGGGCGTTGTTGCATAGTGGGGCCCATGCTGTGCCCCAGATACTGCACATGCCTGATTTTGCAGGTAAGTTTCCCATCTCCTCCAGTCCTGAGACAAGGGTGGAGACCAAGAAGGGTACAAGATTGTAGACATAAGTGGGGTTACCGCTTAGCGTATTCAGAGGCCACCTGGGGATTGCATCTGCAGGTTGAGTGTGCTATTTCTCTAGGACTATACCCAGTCCATCTGGCTGTTCATGCCCGGAGCCCTGAGTGCCTGGATCTGCTAGTTGACAGAGGGGCTGAGGTGGAGGCAGCAGAGAGACAAGGGGGCCGGACACCCCTGCATCTAGCCACGGAGATGGAGGAGCTGGGGTTGGTCACCCACCTGATTACCAAGGTGGGAATGAAGACCGTGGAAGGCGTGGGGAGGATTGTGGGAGGACCAGGGATGATGAAGAGGTGTATGGAAGGGCTTGGCCACGTGGACCATGCTGGTCACATTTGCCGCCCCACAGCTCCATGCTAATGTGAACGCCCGGACATTTGCTGGAAATACACCCCTCCACCTGGCAGCTGGACTTGGATCCCCAACCCTCACTCGCCTCCTCCTAAAGGCTGGTGAGTTTCACGCTTATGTATGAAAGAGGCAGGAAAGAGAAAGGGAATCTCAGCCACTGCCCAGTCCTCAGTGTGGGACCCTCCACTGGTCTCTTCCGATGCCTGGCTCCCTCCTGCAGGTGCTGACATCCATGCAGAGAACGAGGAGCCTCTGTGCCCTCTGCCCTCACCCCCCACCTCTGGGAGCGACTCTGACTCTGAGGGGCCTGAGAGAGATTCCCAGAGACACTTCCGGGGGCATACACCTCTTGACCTCACGTGCAGCACGAAGGTGAGGACATCCTAGCAACAGAAATACTTAGATGGCCACTGGACACCTCCTGGGCATGGGGATGTGGGCCAGGTCATAGACTTGGGGAGAGCTGGCTTAAGGTCCGGGGTGATAGGCAACACTGTCCCCCAGGTGAAGAGTCTGCTACTGAATGCTGCTCAGAACACCATGGAGCCGCCCCTGGCCCCATGCAGCCCTGCAGGTAAGCCTGGCAAGTACTCCAGTCTCAGCTCTCCCTCCCACTTAGGGCTCCCCATCCATGTCTGCCTTGTCTGTCAGGTTAGCAGGGACAAGAGCTGTGTCCAGGCACGTGCCCCTGCCCATCTCTGGTATCTGTATTCGTGTCCTCAGGGCCAGGGCTGTCCCTGGGGGACGCAGCCCTGCAGAATCTGGAGCAGCTGCTAGATGGGCCAGAAGCCCAGGGCAGCTGGGCAGAACTGGCAGAGCGGCTGGGGCTGAGAAGTCTGGTGGACACATACAGGAAGACCCCCTCACCCAGCGGCAGCCTCCTGCGCAGTTACCAGGTACCCTGTAACCTGCCCAGCTTCCGGAGGCCCTTACCCATCTTGGAGTCTCCTGCCCCCCAGGACTTCCTACCCCACACCCTAGACATCACTGGAACCTCCTGCTCCTTTCTCATCAGCTGGCTGGTGGGGATTTGGTGGGTCTGCTGGAGGCCTTGAAGGACATGGGTCTGCACGAGGGAGTGAACCTGCTAGAAGGCCCTGAGACCCGGGACAAGCTGCCCAGCACAGGTAAAGGCCCAGCTTGGAAGGTGCGTCTGGGCTGAGGGTGGGAGGCCCGAGACTCCACTCCCTCCTCTTCTCCCAGCAGAGGCCAAAGAAGACAGTGCCTATGGGAGCCAGTCAGTGGAACAGGAGGCCGAGAAGCTGTGTCCACCCCCTGAGCCACCGGGAGGGCTCTGCCATGGGCACCCCCAGCCTCAGGTGCACTGAACGGTGCCACCGTCTCCCACCTGGGTCCCTCTGTACAGCACCCTGCCTCGTCTATTCTTATTTAACACCTCGAACCCACACCCCAGTGGGCCAAATAAAGGGTTCCTATGGGAAGGGGAAGGCCCATTCCCAACTTACGGTACGGCAACCCAACGTGACACCCGTCCCTGTCCCTGAGCAAGAGGAGAGGACGCCCAGCCAGCAATTCAGAGCGGTTTTAATGCGGGTGGAGGCTCTACAAAGGGCAGGACCCACCAAAGGAGAGGAGCCCCGCCTGTGGACGGGGCCTCAATGTCCACACCCTTCCTCTGCCTGTGCAGAGAGCGGTGAGCCCTTGGGGAGGAAAAGGGGGACCAGCTCAGCCCCAACTCCTGGCCTCTGTCTGAGCCAGGCCCCAGGATGAAGGGGTACTGCTGGTGTCGGGGTGGGGCGGTCCCAGCAGAAAGCAGAAACGTTATCAGGCCTCCCCCATGAAAAGAAAAGAAAACAAAAGAAAACCCCCAATCAAAAATTAGGGGCATGGGCCCCTCCCACCCTACCCACCCTTCCTGTACGAAAAAGTGCAAAACATTATCACAAAAAGGGGATCTCTGAGAGGCCCTCAGCCTAGGCTCTGAGGCCCGGCTCAGCCCTGCCCTGCCCCGGACACCGCGTCCGGCGCGGTCGGGCCCTGGGCCAGGAGGCCCTCGTGGGTGGCCCGAGGCTAGCTGAGCTCGGGCAGGGCCATGTCCACATGCGGGTGCCCAGCGGGCACCGCCCCCGTTTCTCCTGCTCCCTGCTCAGGGCTTTGGCCTTGTACTGCCTGCCCCAGCCCGGGCTTCTGAGCCAGAACGCTGAGCCCGGGTCTGGCTGGTGGGGTTGGGCTGCAGAGAAGGACTGGAGTGAGGCGGAGGGCATCCATCCTCCGTGCTCCCAGCCTGGGCCAGCGCTGCCTCAATGGCATCCAGCTCCTCGCTGGCTACCTTCATCTTGACTCGAAGCAGCGCTGCATAGGTGCCATAGCGGGATTTCTGAGGCAGAAGGCCAGAAGCTATGAAACCCTGCCCTCCCCACCCCACCACCCGCCTAGAGATGCTGGGTCCTACAAGACATCTTTGACAGGTCGTAATGACCCTCCCTGGACTCTTAGAAGCATTTATAGTTAGTGACAGCTAGCATTTCTGTAGCCTTTACAGAGCTGGAGGCACAGAATACGAAACAGACATGTCGCTTGACCCTGGTGGCTATGGGACTTACACTTGATCCCCAGAAGGGAAAATGAAGACTCAGAGACCAGGCAATCAGCCCGTCACCTGGATGGGTCCCATGCTTTGATGCCATGCCCTTACACCTAGCCTTGTCCTATGTGGGGGGACAGACACCAAGACATCAGACAGGGAGGCTCACCTCAAACTCCAGGTAGGCTTCCTTCTGCCTCTGCTCATCGGCCTCCTTGCCTCGGGCCTTCTTTCCCAGATGTGCAGCCCGGTGTTCGCGCAGTTCACTCGCCATGGTTTTCATCTTGGCCTCGTGGGTCCTCACCTGCTCCTCCTAACAGCCAGGGATGCCTGGTCAGTGCCACTAGTCTGCAGGACCTTTGTGCAAACTTTAACAAGGGGCTAGATTTCCATCACCACTACACCCCTCCTCCTGTGAGCTACACGGCTGTATTACACGGCTAATCACTCATGCAGCCAAGCTTAGCACCCTGACCTATTCCATCCACTGTCAAACAGGTGATTGAGCGATTCCAGACTACCTGGGAGAGGCGGGTGGCGGCACTGGGCAGCAGAGGACGGCTGAATTTCTTCTGGGAACTAACGGCAGCTGGGAAGGGGGGTGCAGAGAACATGGCAGCCACCACATTGATGCGAGTGATCCAGGACTGCATCTGCTCCAGGCTCCTAGGGAGACAACACAAGGACCCTGTGTTCCTGTCCACGAGTGCCAGTCCCCACCCAGAGTGTGGCCTTATTTATTAATTTATTCATTTATTGAGATGGTCTCAAGTATCCCAGGCTAGGCCCAAACTGGCTATGTTGTCAAGGATGACCTTGAACTTCTGATCTTTTCGCCTCCACCTCCTAAGCTCTGGGATTTTAAGAACGAATCACCAGGTCTGGCATCTACAGGGCTGGGGACTGAATCCAGGGCCTTCTTTCTGCACACTATGTGATCACTGCTAACTGAGCTATGTCCCCAGCTTGCAGAGCATGGGTCTTACAAGGGAAGAGGAATCCAAGAAGCAGGGTCTAGAGTGGGTAGGAGGAGGACACTCACGGGGCCTGGAAGAGGAAGACCCGCCAGTCAGCGGTGCGCAGGTAGAAGACGTGTGGCCTCTTGCTGTAATCGCTGGCTCGGGTGGCCAGGGCATGGTGGATGCTGATGGCATTCTTCAGCTCTGCCTCGGAAAGAGCCTTCCCAGGCTGGTACTCCTCCTACAGGGGTGCCCATCTTGTCTTGCCCCAGCCAGGCCTGGCCATCTCCAGCCACCTATTCCCCTCAGCCAAGCCAGCCCCACCACCCCACCCCTGGCCCCGCACCTTCTGCAGATAGAGGATCATGCCCTTGAGGATCCCGTGGAAGCTCTTCCAGCCCCGCTTGCCGCGAGGTGCTAGGGAGGGAAGGCAGGTCAGGGTGGCCTGATGAAGGCCAGCTCCCACCCAGCCCCCAGTCCCCTGCACAGCCACATACTCTTCCTGCAGTCAGGGTCTGCGTGCACCTTTCGAACCAGGGCCCCGTGCTTGTAGACAGCAGCCCCAGGCTCAGGAGTCAGGTCCAGGAAGGGGCTGGAGCTGCTGCCACTGCCGCCGCTGACCCTCTTGATGACCTTGGGGTTAGGGTCGGCCAACTCAGACAGAGATCGCCTCAGCTCTTCCTCGTCTCTGCAGGCGTGAGCATTTCAGGGAGTAAAGCCGTGTAGCCACACACCCTCAGCCCGAGCTTCTGCCCTAGAATGTTCTTCTTTAGTGGGGGCAGCTGTCAAGGACTCCTCTCAACTGTCTCTCAGCAGGGCTTCCCCAGGCTGCAGGTCTGGCCCCTCCCTCAGGTGGTCTCAGGGAAGGGCCACATCTGGACCTTCCCTCCCTGTGCCATGTGGAAGCTTCCCAATGTCTGTTTCTGCACACACCCAGTCCTCACATTTCTCCTGGACAGACAGGTGTGACTCAGCTCTGTCCCAACCACACCTACCACCAGACTGCTCACAGTTGCTGGTTACATGCTGCCGAAAGGCAGAGATAAACTGAGCCTGGTAGCTCGTGCCTGTAATCCCACCACTGGAGAGGTTAAGGCAAGACTGTCAAAAACTCAAGTCAGCCTGAGGCTGTGTGAGGCCCTGTCTCAAACCCTAAAGGGAAAATCTTAATGCCCTCAACATCTTTGCTCATAACTCCTATCAGAAAAATCAGACTCTCTTGTTGCCTTGCTCAGGAATTTCCAATAGCCCCATTATTAATGCCCTGCGTGGCATTAATTTGCTCCCCCACTCTCCTTTGCAACCAGCCAGGCCGCTGGCCTTAAACCCACACTGACTTCAGCCACACCTTTGTCTCCCGGATGCCAGCTTCCCCCCTTAGTATCCTACAACGCACTGCTGACTGACTTCAAGGCTTGCCTCCAAAAAGCTTCCTTGATGCTCTCCTCCCTTCCTGCACACTGATCCCCAGTCCTGTTCCTCAGAGGTTCCCCACAACCAAAAGCTCCTATTTCAGTTGAGCCATGACTGGACTCTGCAGATAGCAGCAAGTACAGTGTCCACTGATGTTTGTTTAGGCAAGGGCTCTCTCAGCCTGGGGCCCCAAAGACAGACAAGAAGGAAAATGGTAGTCCTTGTTCTTGACATGCCCAGGTAACTCTTGTATTCTGGCAGTTAGCCTGCTTTCTTGTTGGGCTGCCAGGAATCTTCTATGTTTCAGCACACACCCCCACTGCATCAACCCAGCTTGTCATAACAACAGAGCTAGACACAAGGCAGACCCCAAGTCTAGGCAGGCATTTCCAAAGAAGGGAGTGAGTTAGCCTTCCTGCTCTTAAGGCTTTCCACCCCCTCCCTGTACCCAGACCCTCCCCAGTTCTCTGGTGTCCCCGCCCCCCCTTCCTCGTGCCCAACACTAATCCTAACCTTACCAAACAGCCCCGGGTACTCACATGGCCCACTGCAATTTGTCATTCTTGATGGAGCTGTACAAGGCCTGGAGAGAAACAAGTCAAGGTGTGGATTAACCCTGCGGGGAGGTACAACATGTACCCCATGTCAGAGCTCAGAACCTTCCCTCCTAACTTGGGAGAGGAACTGGAACTAGGAGAACATAATGACCACAACCTGGCTCTGGGACACAGCACGCACCGGGGTTGGAGCTGCCTGACTTGGGCAGGTTTCCACAGGGAGAACCCGCATAGCAACATGTGGAGACAACCGGCTAGTGAGCACAGGAAACCCTGGTCCACAGCTGGGGCATAGCAACTGCGGGTTGCTATGATCATCTGTTATTTAGGGGCTCTCTGAGCAGGAGAAGCACAGCCCTAAATGGAATCAGAGGCCAGCCAAAGAAATCCTCATTCCTTCAACCATGTGTTCTGGTCTGATTCCACAGCGTAAACCCACGCAGAGCAAATAGGAAAACTGAGGCTCCATGATAGAGTATTCTCTCTTTGGTTCTCAACTGCAGAACACAGGGAGCCTTCCCCCAATCCCAACAGCACCATCAAGCCAGATACCAAGGGGCTCAGTGCTCTAGTCACAGCCACATTTCACACTGCTGCCAATGAAGACAAAGCAGGAGTTTCAGCTTCCGATCACTGTCTACCCCAAACCGTGGGTCCTGAACCAGTCACTTCCCCTCGGGACGTTTGAGGGCCGTGCAGTGCCAAAAGAGAGAATGGCCTTCAGAAGTGTACAAGACCCCTGTCCTTGGGGATGGCTCAGAATACACCAGCGATTCCAACTGTGGGGGCGCTTCTGCCAGCCTGCCTGTGAGTGGGTGTGTCCCCAGCATGTGCGTGTTTTGCTGTGGGGCTGTGATGCTTGCCTGCGCGTGAGTTGGGTGCAGTGGTGACGTCGGTGCCTTCCTGGTGCTGGGACACAGCACCCCCTCATTCTCCCAAGACACCACAGGCTCCGTTCCGACTCTCATTTCTCATTGCCATGCCCAGCCACAGGCTATCTATTCACTCCATGCCTGCTGCGCATCCTGTCTGCAGGTAGGTGAACCCCAAAGCATCCACTTCGCATGGCACAATCCAGGCTAATCAACACACAGCTGTCAACACATCTGGGCCAAACCCAGTAAGGCTCAGACCTTGGACCCTCTCACTCAACTATCCAGCCAGGAGACTGGAGTAACCACCAAGATCCAACCGGCAACCTTGTCTCCAGCCTTCCATTTCTTCCTCTTTACCCCCTTCAAGACTACCGCGGCCCACAACCACACCTTCCTTCCTCTGAAGGTCCCAAACCCAGGCACAGAGTCCTAAGCAGACGCCCATCTAGAAAACCCTGCTCGCCCAGAATTCTGTGGCTGACGAGGAAGGTCCACCTTGGCCCACCCCCACAACCCGTGCCCAGGAATTCTCTCCCTGTTGGGCTCCCGGAACACCTTCGCCCCCACCCGAGCCCTCCTTGTTCGCTCGCTCTCCCGCACTCGGCACCTCCCTCAAGCCGCCCCCTCGCTCGCCGCCCGGCCCGGCCCGGCCCGGCGTGGGCCGTGGGCCCCACGCCCTCACCGCCTTTTTCTTCTTGCGGCTCTGCAGGCGGCTGACCACCAGGTCGGTGTAGAGCACGGGCTTGAGACTGCGCGAGCGCTGCGGCCAGCCGTAGCACAGGGTCTCCGCGCCGCGGTGGGTGCGCCCGTAGCGCACCGAGCAGAGCGAGCGCGAGCGCAGCCGCCCGGCGCTGCTGTGGATGCTGTTGACGCCGATCATGCTGGCCCGGCCGCCGCGCCGCGGCCCCCGGCCATGCCCCCGCCCGTCCTCGGCCCCGGCCCGCCCGGACGGCCGCGGACGGCTCCCCGACAGCCGGCGCGAGCGCCCGGCCCGAGCCCGCCGGCTCCCACCGACGCACCGAGCGCTCGGCGGCGGCGCCGTGGGCTCCGCAGCTCCGCAGAAGGAGGGGGCGCCGGCGGGAGGGGAGGGCGCGGGCTGGGGCGGGGACGTCGCGCGACGGAGCAGCACGGCGCGAGCCCGGCGCCGTGGGGAGGGCCGGCGGCGAGCGGGGGCGCATGCGTGGGGGCTCGCCAGGGGGCCGAGCCCGCGCTCCATAGGCGGCTGCGGGCAGCGTCCCGAGCACCCTTTAGCTCGTCGGGACGGGGGACTGAGGGCACCGGCCGGCCTGTCCCCTACTCTCCACCCACCACCCCCGTGCTTCTGCCTCTGAGACTTGCGGCCGGCCCTCGAGCAGTCGCGACCTCGTCCAACCCATAAGCAGAGATCCCAATGTCCAAGCCATGTCCATATGCCACGAAGTCAGCCATCCCAACTTGCCCGATGCACCGATTCCCATTGACCCCAAGTTACAGATGTGCACCTCAAAAGGAACCACCTACAGCTGACAAAAGCCCCCTCTGCTGTCAAACCAGACACAGTCAACTGAAGATGCGGCATCACACAGATACCCAAACTACACCCAAAGCACAAAGGTCACGCAGGTCCCTCCATTCAAAGACTGTTGCCAGACACACAACTCGCAGGAACACCCCAGTTCATTGACAACTCAACTCACAGTGGCCGCGCCCACTCGGATACATGCTCAAACTCAGGTGCCCAATATACCCCAATCCAGGACCTGTCCCGTGTTCGTATGTATAGAGTGGCCCAGAAACCCCCTTCTTCAAGTTAGTCCAGGCTTCCGAGGTAAAACATTCCATCTCCATCATGGGGAGGAGGGGACTGCGAGGCGGGGTCGCCCCCCCCCACCGGTACCTATCACATTCCTGGCACCTGGGTGCAGGACCTGCTTCCAAAGCAACCGAAGAGCAGTGTCTAGTCCCAGCGTTGTGCCCTGGATGCAATCACCTGCGAGAACCTTTGCTCCCCTGCCCGCTACGTTAGGCTCCCTCCTGGGCAGTGGTGCCAGGAGGGTCTTTGTGGCTCTTATACGTTAAAGTGGAGAGCAGCGTCCCCCTGCACACCCCACCCCGCGCACCAGCCGAGACACCTCCCTCCCAGCCTCCCTGAACACTGGAAAGGAACTGAAGAGTGCAACTGTAGAGTCCAGGACGGCCTGCTCACGCGTTTTCCAGAACCGGCCCCCCCTTTCCCCTGCCTCAGGATTGCTTGCGCGTGCGCATGTGCGGTGAGAGCCTGCCTGTGGGGGCTGGGCGAGGGGGCGGTCCCCAAGCTGAGTCACTAGAGCCCAGGTTCCTGCCGCCAGAGCCAACCAACAAGTCCCAAGTCCCAGTCCTCCCTTCCTTACAACCCTGCTGCTGAGCAGGCACCCTGCTCTTCCCTTCCAGAAATATCTCCTGACTGAGTTTTTCCCTCCCTGCAACCTTGAGCAGCTCTCTGGGGAAGTCGCCACCATCATTGAGGCCCTCCAGGTTTCCGATGAAGTCCCCACAAGTCATGCGCTTCCCAATGTTCTAAGGGAGGAAAACAGAGGCCTGTGAGGTCCCAAAGCTTTTAAGTCTCTTTTGTTTTCTGGCTCCCACTTGCCATGCCCCCACTCACGTGGCCGTGGAGATCTGTGTTGAGGAGCATGAGGGCACAGGTCAGCGTGTGAGCGCCGTCTAGGGGAAAATTGTCAGCTTCAGCCACCTCCCTTTTGGCTGAACTCTGTGAACCCATTCCATGCCTCCTGAAGCCCATCTCATCAGCAAGGACCCCGCCTCGGATCTCTGGTTCCCCCTCCCTCGTCCCCCAAGTTGCTGGGGTGGTTGCTCTCTGCCTGCCCCCAACATGCTCAATGTACTAAACAAAAGCAAGCACCCATATGCAGAGCCAGTCAGCACTGAGGCCAAATCTGGTCCTGCACATACGTATGTATGGAACAACTTCATGCAAACACACTTCCACCTGCGTCTCAAAACACACCTGACCTGGCAACATGCCTACCACGTGGACAGCTCCATACACATGTAGCTGTATTTACACTGATGCCTGTGCACATGCCTACAAACATGCACACCCATTCCCTCTTGCACAAACACTTGCTCCTGTGTATCTGCGGCCCCTCGGTCAGCGGGGACAATCCTGCTCCCAGCCTGCTCACCCTCTGAGGACAGGGCTTCAGGGTTACACTGGAAGTACCGCTGGGAGAAGTGGGCCAGTACACGCTCCCGCTCCTGGGTCTCACCCATTAAGGCCAGCTCCTTTAGAAACACCCTAAGGGGGGGAAGGACGATGATGTCACCCCAACTCAAGACCTCCTTACCAGGAAGTCCTGGTCTCTGAAGAGCAATATCAGGCCAACTTAGAAGCACATAGCGGAACCCCAAACACCAAGCCTGGCGGGAAGGACACTCACCTGAGAGCTTGATCCAGAGTCATGCCCGTGAAGACAAAGAACTTGAGATACTCGCCAGCCACCAATTTGCTGAAGTCATTGCTGTAGGCAGGGCAGACAGGTAGGTGTCACCAGGGGAAGTATGAAGGGGCCAGCTGGGCATTGCCTAGAGGCCCTGGGCATTAACTGGAGAGGATGCATTCCTGGACCCCAGCCTCAGTCCCAGCCCGGGGGCATTACTTCTTGCCCAGATGCCGGGCCACATCGGCCTTCCTGAAGCCATCAAGTCGGTATAGCCTCTTGGCCAGGCGCTGTGCGGCCTCCAGATCTGCTTTCTGCCCATTGGACAAGGTGTCTGTGCTTCCCAGGGCCAGCCGCTCTGTGCTGTCCAGCTCTGAGTCTGAGTCGGACACCAGCTGGCTTAGGGGCGGTTCACTGCCAGGGTAGAGCAGCAGCTGAGGGGTGGGGCAGAGCCTTGGAGATCATCCAGAGCCCCCCTTGCTCTAGACCCAGAAGTTGGGGAATGGCTGGAGGGACGTGGAAAGGGCCATTCTCTTCTTTCTAGGGGCGGAGACTGGTTAGTTTCCTCTCAATCTGCCTACTTTATCTTCTTTCAATGGAAATTCTGCCTCAAATCTAACCCATAAATGCTGTGGGAGTCCTGGCTGCTCCCCAAAGCTTCCAGGGACCTACGTTTGTTCTTTGATTATACAGACCCCATCTCCACACCTGCCCCCCTCAAGGTAATCTGTCTGCACACACCCCTGTACCCTTGTGCCCAGGTATGAATGGGATGCTGGGGAAGCTCAGGGAGGTCATGCAAAGACCTGCTCCCTTCATTTCCCGCCTTTCTTCCAGAGGCAGTTTCTGGGGTTACAGTTTGAGGGTCAGAGGGCATCCCTTATCCTCTCCCTCTCCTTCCTTCCCCACCCAGCTGCTCTACTCGCAAAGCCACCTGTCACCCCAGAGACAGAGGCCGGAAACTCCTGGTTGCTAGGCAACCCTGTCTCCCTGGCCACCCCCTCCTGTTGCCATGGCTTCCATGACTGAGAGGGTAGCAGCAATAGGGAGAGCACAAAGGTTAGGCTATGAAAGGACATTCCTAGAGCAGCCTCTCAGAGGAGCGGGTGTCAGGAGGGAAAGGGAGGGGTTTTGGCTTAGGTTCTGAATGGGTGGGTGGGGGTGAGAGGCTCTATCTGGGAGGTGAGGGCCCTCCAGGAGAGGAGGATGTTCTCTGGGGATTCTTCCATCCTGAATCACGGCTTCTCCAGTCACTGGATCTGAGCCCAGGGAGGGAGCTGCAGGGGGCCAATGGCAGGAGGCCTCCAAACCGGAAAACAGACATCTGGTAGCCACCATTCTTGGTCAGAAATATAAACTACTTCCTCCTCTTGGGGCTTTGTCCCTTAATCAGCAAGTCCTGGGGGCCTGAAAGAAAATACTCACCTGCCAAGGGGTGCTGCCCCCAGCCCAAGGCTCTCCTCAGAGCGGGAGGGACTAGGAAGCTCCCTCCTCGGGGCCAGCTTGGCCCCAGCCTCTGACTCCTCCGCCTCCCTTCTCTGGGTCCACAGACCATCAGCCGCAGAGCTGGTATGCGAATCCGGTTCAAGAGGGGCAGGTGCGGGCGGGTCAGGCCGGGGAGCTGGGGGTTGGGGAGGCATCTCAAAGGTAAAGAAGGGGCTCTTGGTTGGGCCAGGTGAGGCCAGGGCCTCCAGGGACACAAGGCTGCTATAGGAGGTGCCCTTGGCCCGGTGCGACTCCAAGATGGCTTCAAACACACAACTGAAAGAGTCAGGCCCGTCTGCTGAAGGGCTGGTCCCAGGCAGAAAGGGTACTGGTGACTTGAGAGGCCCAGAGAGTGGCATGTGGTCCCCTGGTCTGCAGAGGCAGGGAGAATGTCTGATCAGCTCCCCAGAACCAGGCCTTGGCAGGATTCCATCCAACTCTTGCCGACTGATGCAGGGGCTTTCATTCCCTTTCCACAGACACAACCCCCCTACAAAAGCCAGTAGGGCCGTGAAATTCAGTGCCTGTGGTGTCCCGGTCCTGCCCATCCCTGTGCCAGCCCCCTCCTTCCCTCTCTCTCTCTGCTAATCTCCCTTTCTCCTCCTTTCCCCTGATCCGCTTCCCTCCTGCCATCCTGTTCTATTTCTGGCAACATCTTAGGAGAAGATGTGGCTCCAAACTGCAGTGGGGCGTGAGACAGAAAGGAAAAGCCCCCACATTTCCACCCTCTCTTGCCAGGACCGAGGGTCTAACCCATGCTCCCATGCCTTCAGGCCGGATCCCATGTCCCCAGTTTGGCCTCTGGCTTCTGGCCCCTGATAATCTAGAACCCTGCCTCATCCTTGTGGCTCCTGGGTTTGCCCAATGCCCATATACTCCTAACGCTCTCCCAGGCCTCAGACCTCTGCCTGGAGCCTTCTTCCCATACTGCCCATACTGTCCTGGTCCTCACAGCCTTTGCCATCTCTAGCCCAGGTTCCTGCTGGAGTAGACAACACAGGGAGCTGCTTTCCCTCCCGGATCCCACTCACCGGGGCCCCTCTGAGGCCTCAAACACCTCATCCTCCACGTCCTCATCACCACCAGCCTCATCATCTTCATTGCCACTGCCCAAGCTGGAAGGAGGGCCAGGGCGTGGGCAGGGTCGTGAGGCAGGGGGTCGAGCAGTGCCAGCAGGGCCCTCAGAGCTGGGCTGACTCTCAATGGCGGAGTCAGCCTCCTCCCGCTCAGCCAGGACCTCATCGATGTCCGTCTCTCGGTAGCACCGCAGCGGCACTGTGTCCAGGTCTGTCTCAGAGTACTTGGCTGCTCGCCCCACAGCCACCCCAGAGCCTTGCTTGGAGCCCACCCCATGTGACGGGAGGACTTGCTCTGGGGGCTTAGCACCTGTGTGCACAGACATCCAGGTCAGGAGGTCATTTATGTTGGATAGCTTCCCCACAGCCTCACACAGACTGGAGTCTCTTTCACCATCTAACTACCATGCATGTGCCACACCCTTCACTTGATCCAAATGCCCGCGGAACTCATTCCAGTCAGGCCCCTGTCAAATAACTATGAAGGAGACCAGACTAGGAACAACCTGGAATAACCCGCACCATCCAGCATCCCCTCCCTCCACCACCCAGCTTCCTGCAGAGCCCAGTCCAACCCTTATGACACAGATGAAAACTGAACCTAGAGAGACTTTGGCTGAGTTGGGAGGGAGGATTGAAGGCTGCCTCATTGCCAGACCTCAGCGGCTGTGGAGAAGGCCCTACTCTTTTCCCCTGGGCTAAATCCAAGGCTTACCTGAGCTGGGGGCATCCAGGGAGCCATAGAAGAATTCCCATTTGGCTCGAGCGATTCTCTGCGCATGAGAGGACACTTCCCGGGTGGAGGACCAGGTGTCCCCCTGAGTCAAAGAGGAAGTGAAAGGCACAGGACCCCAAAATGAAAGCCAGACACACAAGGGCACAAGGACATGGAGCAGCAGAAAGAAACCCACATGGGACAAGGATGACGGTGCAGCGACAGAGACAGAGGGCAGGAAGGCTGATTTAGGACATTAAAGGGTTTGGGAGAATATGAGACAAACCTCAGTCCAACAGGGGCCCTAAGGCCCCAGGGAGCCCAAGGCAGATTTCGTACCTGGGTTAGGAATCCAGTGTCTGCAGGTCCTCGGAAGTGCATGGCCAGACGCTCAGGGGTCCCCCCCAGCCCATTGGGGAGAGAGGAGCAAAGGCCATCTGCCCCAATCTGGGGTGGGACCAATGGCCCATGTGAGGGGTCCCGGCTGCCAGGAAGAGCAGAGCCTCCTCCAGCTGGGAGTGGGTCTGATGTGGATGCCTCTAGCCGCAACTTCCGGTTGCAGCCAGGTCCAAGGGCTGGGGAGGGCCTGGGAGGAGAAACCCCACCCAGGTCCCAGCTCCGACTCAGGCCTCCGGAAGCAGGTAGGCCATTCAGTGGTCTCACACTGGCCTTCTCCACAAAACGGAAGATGACCACAGAACTCTGTGCCCCTGGTGGGGGCTGCCCAGTGGGTGAAGAGGGTCCCCAGCGTGAGGGAGCCATACGGGGTGATGGGGGGCCTCGCAGAGGGGTGCAAGGTGCTGTCACACGTCCCAGATCCCGGCCTCGAGGACCTGGTCCCGCCACTCGTCGTATTAGGGATCCTGTGCTGCCATACATGCTGGCTGGGGGACTTTGGGGCACTGGGCCTTCGGGGAGCCAGCGACGAGGGCATCGTGGTGGGGAGATGGCACAATCGCCTTCTGAGCAGAAGCGCATGGCACCTTGGGCCATGCTGGGACCGGGGGGTCAGGCTGGCGGGGCTGGGATGGCGAGGCCAGGCAGGGAGTGAGGAGGCTGCATGCTCTTCAGTCGGGCCTGCAAGACAGGAAGGGGGCACGGGTGAGGTGTATAGGGGTTGAACAGGCAGGGCAGCACAGACAGGGAGGGGAAGGTGGGTTGGGGTTTCTAAGGTCCAGGGACCTATCCATCCTAACCCTGAGGGCTCCTTCCTTGGAAACCTTCGGGGGAAAGGACCATCCATCCACTGGGCCTTCAGTCCCTCTCCTCCTGTCTGGGAACCCCGAGCATCACTTTAGGAAGGAACAGCAAGCTAATTCAGAAGTTCATTGAGTTCAGTTCTGGGGCAGTTGGGAACTCTTTCTCTTGTGGGGTGGGGGCTGGTATCCCATCTTCGGGATCATAGGGCCCTGGGTCCCCTATAGTCCCACTTATGGGGGGGTCTCACTTAGGAAAAGGAAAACCAGCCTTCTTGGAAGGAGAGGGAGGGAAAAAAGGGGTTACATAGGGACGAGGAAGTGTTGAGAGACAGGGAAGAGGGGGGAAGAAAAGCCCAAAAGAGGTCCCTAACTTCAGCGCACACACACGCACACACACACACACACACACACACACACACCTACACACACGAATTCATATACACACATGCAGAAGGACAGATATGAGTATACAGTTACCACATTCATAGGCAACACCCTCCAGTACAGAGAGACACACGAAGTACTGCTCATAGACACACCCTCATACACTCACAGTCATAACAAATATGTGTGTAATGGGAAAAAGCACATGATTGTTTTACACACAGATCACCAAACAGGAACACACAAAGGGGTACCCAAATACATAGACAGGCTCTCATCTTCTGATGCATACAGAGACAGGTGTATCACACAGAGACCTCCTCGTCACAATCATAAACACAGATGCACATTTGCAGACATATATCCCTTCCTCCCCGCACCAGGAGCCAGGTCTGGGTGAGGGGGGGTTGCACCACATTCCTCTCCCCCAACTCCAGGGGTATGACATTTCTTGTCCAGTCCAGGAGGGGCCATAAAGGAAAACAGGGCCTCTGGTGGCAAAGCAGGGTAGCGAAAGCTGTCAGCAGCATCAGTCCAGCCAGACAGGTTCTTGAAGCTCAACAGGGGCCTGGACCTCCCCTGTGCAGCCCCTCCTCCAAGGCACCCCAGTACTCACCGCTGCTCGTTCGGAGCTGGAACGGAAGAGAGGCAGAGAGGCTGGGCCCCGCTCAGCTGTAAAAGCAGCACAGCTCCCGCTTGCTCCAGGCCCGCCCGCCTCTCAGTCCCTCCTCCACCCCTCCCCACGCTCTGCTCAAGCAACGCTAATCCCCCCCCCCACACACACACCACCTCCCTTCTTCCCCAGGGCCCTGAGTCCCAAAGAATGCCAGCCCCCTAGGCACAACCTAAGACTCACGCCAGAGGAAGACGAGAGTGTAGAGAACCCCCGGTTCTGTTCCCTAAACCCTCATATGCCCCACCCCACTCGTGTTCAGTTCTCTTTCGTCCATCATCTCCTGAACCACACGTAGGGTCCAGCTGCACACGCCTGTCCTGCTCCAGACCCCACGCGTGTCCCTAGGAGGCTGCCACATGACCTGTTACATGCCACACGCGCTCCCGCCCCCACAAGCACGCGGCCACGCAAACCACACCGTACGGGAGTAGACCGGACCCGCCCCCTAAAACCAGATCAACTACGGAAGGGACATCAAGGGAACGCAGTCCTAAACACTTCAGTATTCCCAACCTCAGACCCCGGAGTCCTGTCCTGACCACCCACCCGGAGTGCAGAGGAAGGATAAGTCAGACTCCAGGAAGAACTTCCTTGCTGCCTAGGTTAATCGTCCCGCCTTTTCAGGAGCCAGAGTTTAGAAGGCTGGGAAGAGAAGCACAAGCAAACCTTGTGCCCTTGGCCAGGGTGGAAGAGGGTCTGGCTATTTTAGGAAAACGCCACACGAGTTACTATGGCAACTATTCTCCTTTGGAAGGCCAGGGCTTGCAGGTTATGACCTCGGAAGGAAGAGAGGGTCGGTTCGGGTGGTCAGTGGGTGCGGGGACGTTCGAGGCGGGGGTGCGCGGGGCTCACCGCGGGGAGGGGTGGCGCGGGTTCCGCGAGGTGCTGAAGGGGACAGCGCCAGGTTTGTCGTAATGCGCAAGCGCAGAGGCGCGAACAAAGGGGCGGGGGAGGAGGCGCGCGGCCGGAGGTGGTGCGCGCCCACGTGCATCTTTGCAGAGATCCTTCCAGGCTACCCCTTCCCCAAGCAGGCTGAGGAGAGGAAGCAACCCCCTCACCCAGCTTCACCCTCTTCTGCTCTTTCCGGTGCTGGCTGCCTTCTCCCTCCATGCTGCACTGAGTAATGAGGTAGTGTGGAAGGGATTCTGGGAAAACCAGGGTATCTGGGTCCTTTATCCTTGCTTCGTTCCATCCTGGTTAAGGAGCTTCCTCCCCAGAGCCTCGGAGTGCCCATCTTTAAAATGGACAGACCTGACTACCTTTGCAAAGGTGGCCAAAGCCCTGGTGAGAAAACGGATGGGAAGTAGCTTTCTTTATGAAGAAGCGGCGGAAATGTTTGCACAGGGCGCGCAACCATGCAGCCGCCCTACGGTCTTTCACATGTTCCCACACCCACCGTGGATGCTGGAGGAAATTATTACGCTAGGGGTTCCCCAGAGTGGGGCTTGGGATTAGTATCGAGGGGCACAGTGAAAGGGAAGCCTAATGACTGAGCTGCGAGCTTTGAGGCGTCACTCTCCCTACAATAAACCCAGGGCCAGTCTGACAAGCAGTAGAGCTGGTAGGCTGCGCTGAGCACGCCTTCCTCCCGGACTCTGGACCGCTGGAAAGGAGCCCCACCTAGTCCTGCATAGCTTTGTCCTTAGGCAAAAAGCCGGCCCACGCTGTCCTGAAGTGAAAAGGTATGGAAGTCATGAGTGTGCACTTGACAATTCACAAGGAACGGAAGGTTTGAACAAATTTGCCTGATAAGAAAAGCCTTAGCGTCGCCCATTTAATTCATTTTATTTTTGGCAGTTACTTATTGAGAACCTACTACATGCCAGTTACTTAGAGCCTGGGCAATCTTTTCTCTTTACAAAGTCGCTCAAACGCGACCAGAGGACAGGGGGAGGCACTCGGTAACCTAGGAGTCCTGGCTCCGCCCCTTCTGCCTTTGGCCTTGTCTGCTCCTCCCATCACCACTCAGAGGCGGCTACTGGCCCGCAACGAAGACCGAAAGCACAGTCCCGGGCTTCCAGCCCTGAAGCTGGGAAGACATCTAATGGTACATCACTGGTCTGCTCTGCCTCAGTTTCGGGGTCCACCCGGAAAGCTTTCCGATAAGGATTCTCGGTGAGACAGCACTCGATTAAATCGGTCTGTCTCTCCAGACCAAGGAGGCGGGCTCGCCGCAGCCGCTTCAAGGCCGAAGCTAGAAGAGCTTACTGCGCGTGCGCAGTAGACAGCGATGGAGCCACCAATGGAGCAGTCCGGAGGGGAGCAAGAACCGGGAGCTGTCAGGTACCGAGCACTGAGGGGGCCGAGGGAGGGAAGAGAGAGCGGCGGGAGGTGCTGGCCGCACCTGGGCCCCTCTTGCCAGCCGGGACTCTAGGGTATAACAGACGGACTCGCACGTAACAGCGGCCCGGGGACGTCAACGCCGCTTTCCTCCCAGGCTCCTGGACCTGCCCTGGGAAGACGTGCTGCTCCCGCACGTCCTGAACTGGGTCCCGCTGCGCCAGCTGCTCCGGCTGCAGCGCGTCAGCCGCGCCTTCCGGGCGCTCGTGCAGCTGCACCTGGCGGGGCTGCGCCGCTTCGACGCCGCACAGGTGAGCCGGGACCGGCGGGAGCCGCGCCCCGCCCCCGCGGTCCCACCCTCGCCCCGCCTCCGTCAGCCCCGGCTGCGCTGGGGACCCTTTCGGACCCCGACGTGGAGGACTCCGGAGGGCCAGCCCTGGGCAGCGGCTCGGAGGGAGCGCGATGCCTCTCCTGGGAGGGCAGGTGGCAAGTCCCGAAGGTAGGCGGCTGCCAGGCAGTGTCCCGCCGCAGGGACACCCTGAGTCTCGGTGCCTCCCGCCCGCAGGTGGGTCCCCAGATTCCACGGGCCGCGTTAGCCCGGCTGTTGCGGGATGCCGAGGGGCTGCAGGAGCTGGCGCTGGCTCCGTGTCACGAATGGCTGTCGGACGAGGACCTGGTACCAGTGCTGGCACGGAATCCGCAGCTACGGAGCGTAGCGCTGGCCGGCTGCGGCCAGCTGAGTCGCCGGGCGCTGGGGGCGCTGGCCGAGGGCTGCCCGCGTCTGCAGCGCCTTTCGCTCGCTCACTGTGACTGGGTGGACGGGCTGGCACTACGTGGTCTCGCCGACCGCTGCCCGGCTCTGGAGGAGCTAGACCTAACCGCCTGTCGCCAGCTCAAGGACGAGGCCATCGTGTACCTGGCGCAGAGACGCGGCGCGGGCCTCCGCAGCCTCTCGTTGGCCGTCAACGCCAATGTGGGGGACACCGCGGTTCAAGAGTTGGCTCGAAACTGCCCGCAACTCGAACACCTCGACCTCACAGGCTGCCTTCGGGTCGGAAGCGATGGTGTCAGGTGCCTGGGCACGGGGTCGGTATGATGGGAGGTGGGCAGTCAATCTAGGGATGTGGGGGGGCAGAGTGTACTCAAAGACCCATCAGAAAGACCTCTAGGAGTTTTAGGCTAGAAAGCCTATGATTTAAAAGCAAAAGACAACTTCTGAGCCAAAATTGACTCACCATGATGTGACATAAAGTTGATTTCTGGCATTTCTGCAACAAAGGGGTTATCTTGAAACGCTGGAAAGACCCAGAATAGGTACTTTCTAAGAGCCAGATTTCCCCAATAAGCCGGGGGCCTGGAGTCTGTAATTACATTCCTGCCTCCCCCCACCCCCTTGGGTACTGTAGGAAAAAAAAGCTGACCCTGAGCTGGAGGGAAACCTAGAATTCGCTGGAGCCAGCTGCAGGTTTAGTGGGCTGGCCCTGCAGACCCGGAGGGTGCCTCCTGCACCTAGCTTCACCCTGCTCCTCCCCCAGGACCCTGGCGGAGTACTGCCCGGCACTGCGCTCGCTGCGGGTGCGGCACTGCCACCACGTGGCCGAACCCAGCCTGAGCCGCTTGCGGAAGCGTGGTGTGGACATCGACGTGGAGCCACCCCTGCACCAGGCCCTGGTGCTACTCCAGGACATGGCAGGCTTCGCACCCTTTGTCAACCTGCAGGTCTGACTGCATTTCCTGTGGGTGGGAGTGCACAGCTGGACTGTGTAGCCGGGGCCTGACACTGAGCTGCAGGGAAACCGAACTGTGAGGGCCTGTGGTTGAGAGGCCTGCGACGTGCCCTGCCCCACCCTGGAATTTCAAATAAAGAGCTTTTTACCCCTCCCTGCCTGGAGCATAGGGGGCATGAAGCTGGGGTCAAAAGGACAGACATTGGAACCCTTCTTACCCCAGTGGCAGAAATGATCAGAATGAATTTACGCCGTCCTTGGACCACCTTTACTCTGTTCATGAAGGCAGCTCCAAGAATACATTAACTAGAGCAAGGACATAGAGAAGGGGCAGTGGGGTGGTCGGGCGGTTTCTGCATCCCTCTGGGATCTGGAAGGCTCAGCAGGGTCCAGCAGGGCCTCAGTGGAACCGGTACTTTCTGGCTGGCTTGAGGTTGATGTATGTGGCCTTCATCTCCTCAGCCTCAGGGTTCCTGACATCTTTGAATCGCTCCCCTTTGGTGCTCACTACTTGGTTGTCAATGTATCGGATCAGCTTCTTGGGGGCCTATCAGACAGTCAGGAAATGAATGGCTGAAATAGGGGATTAGTACCCCTCGTTCCACACCCCCTCTTACCTCCTTGGGAGCCATGGGTCGGTGAATCTTCTGATCCTCCGCACTGTCCACCATCATGTACCTGCCGAGAGCGGCTGCATGAAGCTCCTGCCCTGTGAAGCCCCTCCAGGGCCCAGCCCAGCCCAGCCCAGACTTACTTCTGAAGGATGAAGGACTTCAGTTCATCCTTTTGGGGGCCTCTGAGGCGCCTGGGCAAGTCCTGCAGATACGGGAGACCTGTTCTAGGTCCAGTGGTAACAACGGGAAACACATGAGGGTAGGTAGGGGTGGTGTCTTAACAGGAAGGTATAAAGGAGCTGAGGTTACTGGGGTGACTGGGAGAGGGTACCTGATCTGGGCCATCCCAGCCTGGAGGCCTCTCTACCAGCATCTGCACCGCTTCTTCCAAGTCCCCCCGAGCTTTGGCCAATGCCCACTGGGCCTGCTCCACAGAACAGGTAGGGAATACCTCCAAGAGCACATCGACTCCCGGCAGAAGTTTTTCCTCAGTACCAGCTGCCTATGGGCACAGGGGTTAACCGTAGGCTACACTCCTTCCTCTCCTACGCCAAGGTCCTTCTCGGGTACCCTCCTCTACCAGTACCTCATCTTGGGTGTCCCCAGTGGCAGCAGGAGACCTGGCCTCTTCTTTGAGTTTCTCAGGTTGCCTCGGGGTCTCTGGAAAAATGGGCACCTGACCTTGGACACAGGAGCTCTGTGGGTGCAGGTTCTCTTCAAGAGGCAGAGAGGGCATCGGATTTGCCAGGGCTTGGGGAGGGCGGGTGGGGTAGGTGGGAATCCTCCTCCAAATGCCAGATCCCCAAACTCACCTTTGTTCCTAGCATCGCTCAGCTGCACTGAGAGCTTATGCATCATGTCCCCTATCATAGCCCTGGAAAGGCAAGGAAGGTGGTGAGGGGACCACTCTTCACCAACCCCAGCCAGCCAGCCAGCCCCCACCATCTTTTTGCCCCAGCCAGACCCTACCTGGGGATGTGGCCAAAGCCAGGCACATAAGCCTCCATCATCTCTGTGAAGGCATCCATATCAAAGTTCTCCTCTGAAGGGCCTGAGGGGCCCAGGTCCTCCAGGACCCCAAGCACATAGGAGAAGATGACTTCATCCAAGCCACTGTAGGAAGAAACAAGTACACTGCCTGGACCTTGGATATTATATTTCCAGCACCCTCACCCATCTGACTTCAGTCCTCATTTCATGGTGCCCGAGTCAGCTCAGTCCTTGAGATCAGAATATCTCCTCCCAACTCCTTTGCCTTTGGTTTCCAATCAGCCCAGTACAGGTGATAGACAGACAGACAGATGAAAGAGAAGACCATCTAAGCAAATAAAAACCAGCTTTCTCCAGGTGGGAGAGATGGCTCAGTAGTTAAGAGCACCTGTTGTTTTGAGGGTCTGAGTTCAATTCCCAGCACTCACATGGCAGCTCACAGCTGTCTACATCCAGCTCCCTGGTATCTGACACCCTCTTCTGGCTTCATGGGCAGCTGCGCACATGCATGTGCTCACACACACACACACACACACACACACACACACACACACACACACACACACACAACCTCAGAAAAGGATTGAATACTTTGTAACCACCTTTCACTGGCCAGTGCCCAGAGTATTATCCGCAACACCGGCTCTGAACCTGACCTGATCCTTGAGAAGGAACAGCCTTACCTGACATCTGCCTCTGGGAGGTGTGTCTGGACAAAGGCAAGGAGGGCTGAACTGACAATCCTCTCCAACTCCATGCTGTCTCTTCTAAAGGAATACAAGACGGAATTGCCAGGTCTCTGGGTCACTCAATGAGCCAAGGGACAACAACCCTTCCTCTCCCTTCCAAGGTTGAACCAGCTGTTGATGCTGCCTTCCCAGCTCCTGGCAAGCAGAGTCACTCCCTTGACCACCCACTTCTGCCTCCTCCAGCCCTAGACAGGGTGTAGCCCTGTCTCTAAAAGGCTTCCAAAGGGAGTTGTGCCCCTCCCCCATCTCCTGTGGCAAGGAGGGTCACATGCTTCCTGGCTAAGGAATTCATCACTGAGGGGGCTATTTGGCCCCCAACTCCAACCACAAGGGGCCCCATTGTCCATCCCCATAAGGAAGAAGGTCTCAGGACAGCCCTCCCCCACCCATGATAGGCCACCCACCCTTTGTACAAAGAAACTTTTTTTTCTGGTTCTGGGGCCTAAATAAAGGGGAAGTCCTACGTGGCTTCCCTTCTGCCCAATCCCTGCCTTCCCAAGAGTCTGGACCATGGAAGACCTTTGTCACCCTTCAGCCTATGGAGCACCAGTCTGGCCCTCGTCCACTTCTTACCGCCCCCTCCTCTCTAGCTCCACCCCACTGCCCGAGCTGTTCCCTGATCTTGCTGGCTGTCTTATTCTTTGGTGGTTACTAATGCCTAGGAAAGTGTCTGCATTCTGTGTAAGTGTTAGGCAAATACTTCCTGGCTTAATCCATCTACATGACTTTATTTCTGTGCATGAGTGTCTGCATGTACATGGTTGGTGCTCATGAAGGTCAGAAGAGGGTGCCAAATAGGCTAAACCTGGAGTTTCAAAGGTTATAAGGTTATAAGCCATCACATGGGTTCTGGGACCTGAACCTGTGTCCTTTGCAAAAGCAGCAAGTGCTCTTCACTGCCGAGCCAGATATTCAGCCCCCATCCATATTCATGCTTTTGACTCCCCCAAACTATGTGGAGTCAGGCATGCACAGATGGTAAGAATGGTTCAAGACTTGGAGAACCAAATGTCAGCCAATCCTCTCATTTGGAAGGCTCTGGAGGAATCTCAGAACCCAACTACCCAAACTCATACCCTCCTGACATCCCCTGCAAACACATACCACTCGCTGAAACTTAGGACTACCCTTGATTTTGCCCTCTCTCACCCCACCCTGGAATCAATCAAAAGTCTTACTGAATAGGCCATTCTCTCTCCCCCCCCCCAATTAACTTCTCCCTGCAGTACAGCCTCTGCTCCAGTATCTTTACTAGCTAAGAGTTCTCCGACTAAGCTTAATTTCTCAGGCTAAGGTTGTCAGTTGCTTTTTATGTTTTGGTCTACTGAGGTTGAACCACATAACTCCCCAGTTTTGTCGGGAATACTGTATAGTTTTACTCAGTATTTGCCCTTTCAGAACCACCACCCATGTGTCCTGAGTGCACAGCTTCCCCGGTGCCCTCCCCTCTCCCAGGTATTTCTCCTCTGGCCCCTGCCTCCATTCCCTTCTCTGCTGCCCTCTGAATCCAGGCCACTGTTCGTGCCCTGCAGCTCTCTCTGCAGTGTCTCATTTGGCCCATCCTTACGCACCAAAACTGGATGTCCCCCAGTTCTCAAATGCTCAGTCCTCTGATTCCCTCTACCTCACTGACACTACCATAGTGCAGGCATCTCACACTTTGAATGCCCCAAAGTAACATCCTTTCAAGTATTTTTACCCTCCGGGGCCTTCCAGACACAGCCATTCAGTCTAGGAATTAACTATGACCCCTCCCCCCCCCCACACCCCTTACTTTCCATCAGTCAATCAGTTACCAAATCCTGATTGTTCTTTAACATACCTACTTTTTGTGTGTGGTGTGGGTGCATGGGTGGTCTTGCTGCTTCTGTGTGTATATGGAGCCAGAGGTTGACATCAGGCTGTCTGCTTTGATCACTTCGTTCCTTTTTTTGTTTGTTTGTTTGTTTTTTGTTTGTTTGTTTAAAATATAGTCCTGTGTCCCAGAACTCTCTGTGCAGACCAGAATGGTCTTTAACTCACAAACTCCTCCTGCCTCTGCATCCCGAGTGCTGGGATTTAAAGGTGTGTGCTGTGTTTTTTGAGACAGGAACTCTAGATGAATCTGGAGTGTCCATTTGGCTTTTTTGGCTGGCCATGGCACTCCTGCCTTGAACCTCCAGGGCTGGAGGTACAGCTTTGTGCCACCATCCCTGCTCTGTTTATTTGCTTGTTTTTGAGGGAGGTTTCTCTACTTAGTCCTGGCTGTCCTGGAATTCACTGTGTATACCAGGATGGTCTTGAATTTACAGTGATCCTCCTTCTGTTTGGGATTAAGGCAGGTTTGATTGCACCCGGCTATGCCAGCTTTTTGTTTTGTTTTTGTTTTAATGTGGGTGCCAAGGATCTGAACTCAGGTCCTTACGCTCACATAGCAGGTACTTTCCCCACTGAAGCATCGCCCTAGGCCCACACTTTGCCTGTCCCCTTGGCTTCCACATGGCGCTATTTCCTGCCCACAGGAACTTCCTGACACTTCTCTCTCCCGGCTACCATCTCTCTCCATCACAGGTGTATGTATGATCTGCTTAAAATGCAACTGTGGGGGCTGGAGAGATGATTCAGTGGTTAAAAGTACTTACTGCTTTATCAGAGTGAGTACCAGAGTGTGTGTCAGCATCCACGTCAGCAGGGACCCAATAGGGTCTGACATCCCTTACACACATACACACACACACACACACCCACGCATACAAACACACTGGTGCATGTGTGAGCACGAACAACACATCTTTTAAAAATGCAAGCAGAGGCAGGTGGGTCGCTGTGAGTTGAGGCCAACCTGGTCTACACAGTGAGTTCCAGGCCAGTCAGTGCTATATAGTGAAATCCTGTCTCAAAAAATAAGCAAACACATATCAAACTTGACAGTGACTTCCCTTTACCGTTCTAAACAGTGCAGACCTGTTTTGCGGACTTTGGAGGACCTTTCCCCCACCCATTTTTCTCCAGCCTCATCACTCTTCTCCATCCTGGCTTGCTTTCAGCTTGTCAACATTCAAGTCCAGGCTTTTTAGAACTAGTCTACTCACCACTACCTGAGACTCCTCTTACAGAGTGCACACTCCCTTATTTAACATGACTTTTCACACATACAACTAATCATTTGGGCAGTACTTAATGTTTCTTCCAGTTGTTTCTTGAAGGCAAAGATGACTCCTAATTCTCCCCTCCCCTTCCACATTGCTCAACCTGGTTTATTCACCAGCGTACACTCAACCCCTTGGAAACTAGGACTCAGAGAATCAATCGCTCCCCTCTGCAAGATGCTGAGTAAAACCCAGTGACCCAGAGCCAGATGGGTCTGCCGGGCTCATCCCAGTGAACTGTGCTGCAGGAGGTGTTCTAAGTTCAGGACCGGGAATGTAGCCCCAGAAACTCCCCAGTGTAAATTTTGGGGCAGTTCTGGGGAGGGGGGTATCAAGACTTCCACCTGGGTTGGACCAGTTACCTGGTTCCTTCAGTGACAAGACAGGATGACTGTAAGAGCACACTTGAGAGCGTGCGAGTGCGCATGCACGCGCACACACACTGAATTTGGAAAGGAAAACTGAGTAACTCCAGTCTCTCATAGGAGATGCCCACCCTCTGCCCTTAGCCATAGGCCACAGGACAGGACAGAACTTAGCCCAGGCATTCTAGCCCCCATCATGCAACTCTCCTGAAAAGGCAGCCCCTCCAGAGACCTACCCCACGCTCAACCTGACTGTTGACAGTGGCCTGGGAACCTTTGCAGGGAAAAAGTCACTTGGCTGCTCTATGAAAGCCCAGTTTCTAGGGAGCTTTTTCTAGGGCCTCTGGGTCTCTAACCAAGGTGTAGAGGCTACAGAGTTGCTACTGGGAAATTCCACCCTGTCTTCCAATGAAAAGCCTTCCTCCTTCGAGGTTCTGTGGCTGGTTCTGCCACATCATGTCTCCTGTCTTTGGACTGAGAAGACATGGTTCAGATTTCAGAGCTTGCCACATCTCTGTTCCCATCCTTCTCTCCACCCCCAGCTTTCCCTTCCTGCTTGGGAACACCTCCTAATATTTTCTCCCATAGTTCCTGCTGGGGATAACCTGACCTGAACTACTAAGTCGGCTTCCTAAGTCAACCTGAATGTCATCCTAGGATTTCCAGACGACTTTCCAAGTTCCTGATACAGCCCATGGAACCCATTCTTGATTAGAGACCACTATTTAGCGGTACCTATGAAATATGACAATCATTGTGCCATGAGTCCTGCCACAGCATCTCTGATGGGGGCTGGAGATGGATCAACAGTTAAGAGCACTGGGGGGGGGGTTCCTGCAGACATGTTTGATTCCCAGCACTCACGTAGCTCACAACTGCCCATAACTCCAGTACCTAGGGAAACAATACCTTCTGACTTCCGAGGGTATCCAGCACGCACATGGTACATAGTCATACATGCAAGCAAAATGTATATATGTATATATATGTACATATATATGTGTGTGTGTGTGTGTGTGTATAATAAATACATCTAAAAACACTTTTAAAAACCACTTCTAATGATGGTTAAAAACTGTCTGCTGACTGCATATAAAGTATTAATTTCCAGCTTAAAATGTGGATAATACTGTTATTCCCATTACCTCAAAGGAAATGAAGGCATGAAGATGTGAGAAATTTCCCCAAGGTCAGAGGGGAGGTTAACGGCAGATTCACAGGTGACCTGGCTATATCACCACTCATGATGCCAATGGTTTGGTTCAGACCAGTTCTAGGGGGCCTCTCCTGCCTTGCCAGCTGTCCTACCTACACCAGAATCTTTGCTTGCCCCCTTCTCCTGCTCAAGACATCTTTCCCTCTGCCTCTACCAACACCATTCTGCAGGGCTCACTTTCCTTGTACAGCTAACTCAGCTACCCATCCTCACGGCCCTAAGATGGCTTGAGAACTCCCAAAGGACTAGATATAGGTCTGCACCTTTCTGACACTCTATTAGAGGGTGCAGGGCTAGCAGGACACTCGGGAAACTTAGATTAGGGTGAGAAGTGTC